TCAACGTTAAACAAACGGCGCAATCACGGCGGATTTTTCGAGCTTTCGCGAAATCGGGCGTTTGCGTTCAATTTGACGTAACGCACGGCAAAAACGTTTCGACGTGAAACATATTCGATAAAGCGGCTTCTCTTTTCTCTGCTCCATCTCGACCCATCCTCACAGCGATTATTTACCGTCGATAATTAAGGAGGTTGTGAGGTTCAGCGTTGTATTTTTTAATGGTGCATCAAAGGGAGGCTTTGAATCTACTTGTAAATCTAATATTTATCAAGCAAAATTACGTTCCTACATATTTATATCACTATTTAAATAATAAATGTTGATTTGAAACGAAATTGAGGTAAACATATACAGGATGTCACATTTTAATGGAAACATAAAATTCACTGCATCTTGCAAATGCACCGATGCACCAATGTGTAATGATTGATATATATATAATAATCGATTTCTTTCATATTATTATTTGGAAAAGTGTTATATTGTAATATCGCGAAAAGGGAATACTTTATGAGATATTTCATATTTTGTACTAGAAAATATCAGAATTGAAAGTGAAGTATCTTGAAAAATATTCATATTTCGATAATTTAGAAGATATTAAAAATAGAAATTAAAATAACATTAATCTCTGCTAATCTCAAGGAACGCATATAAAAAGTATCAATTTTAATTGCAAACATCTCAGCTTTCGAATGGTCGATTATTATTTAATTACACGAACGGTTAGATAATATTTCAATGTATACGTGGTGCAAGTTTCATCGAACTCTTATCAAATTCGTTTTACCTTACAACCACCTTAAATCGCGAGAAGTCAAATCGATACGTCTAGAATTTTTCTCCGTCTGGCCCCCTCCTCCTTCCCAGAGTTGAGTCGTTCTCGTTTTTCACTCTCGAGATATGCAGATTACGCGGACGGATTGTGGTATATAGCACCCGGCGAGGTATTAGATGTTGGCGGCGTTTCAACTAATTACTCTCTATCTTGAGCCTCGTTTGAAATTCCGCCGTGACGTCAAACTCGACTCGAGAGGTGAGCTCTTTTGTTACGTGAAACAAACGGTTCGACGTGTGTGCAAGAGAGAGAGAGAGAGAGAGAGATAGAGAGAGAGAGAAGATTGGTAATCGCGCAGACCGAGCAAAACAGGTCCAGAGCTGATGTTTGCGAACACTGAAGTGTTTGGTTTAATAGTCAGTAAACTTTAGTCGTCCGAGCAGTTTGATATATTCTACCAAATCACGCCGAAATATAGCTTGCGAGCGTCGAACATAAGCTTGCATGAGTGGAGTCGCGGATCGAAAATTCCTGTTGTTCTTCCGGAAAATAAAGTACGCTTCGTTGCGGAAAACCGTTAAATTCGTCGAACGTGACAATCATTAAAGCGTTTCGGAAATCCATATTTTCTTTTATAGTGTGATACACGTCAATAAGTATTGCAACGTGATTCGCTGTCAATGGGACGAGTGATGTGCATTTTTATGTCGTCTTCTACGACGACTTCTCCGGCCCACTCGATACTGATTTTTCCCGGACAGAAAGGACAGTTGATTAGCATTAACCATCTCGATAACTCTATTTCAAGTTGAACCCGCGTTAGAGAGAACTCTATTTAATAGCGACTAAGCGAAACAAAATTTCGTAATCTATTTACTTCGCGGATTGATTCTCACGGAGGACAAACTTTAATTCGCGGCTCTCAAAAGTGCGATTTTCCGAAAGCGGTCCGTAGTTTCAAAATAGTCGCTGTGTAAATGTAACGTTACATTTTTATATACACGGGGATACGCAATATGTATACAGTATATATATTTATACCGCACAGAAGTTATTGGATACGCGAAATGAACAAATTTGCTTGATCGGCCACGTGTTTTAATCCTCGCATACTTGCCCACACGCACAAAATCGTTTTTTCCTATCGGTTCGTCCAATCAGCAGTTTTTCGTCGTCCGGCAGAAGAGAATTTCAATTTACCACGCGGAACAGAATCTAGAAAAATCCACAATCCACCCACCCCTTTCGTGCGCGATAAAATTGCCCGCGTATGCGGCGGAACGCACGCATATGCTCATAAACCGCGTGATTATTGGAAACTATGGCGTTCAAAATATTGAATACGATACCCCGATTCGCAACGATTCGCTGCTACAGTCTGTTTAAAATAAGTTTAGGCTTTGACGGTATTCTCACGTCTGCATATAAAAGGGCCGAAAATATTGTTTGGAAAAGCGATTAAATACATGAAAAAGTTGAAACATTTCGCGTATGAGTAAAACATTACGAAGAGTCGAAAACGATTGATGACTTTCCGGAACGTGGTGCGACTCGAAAAACGTCGAAAAAGGAAAGCAAATTGAATGGCCTTTTGCCACGTTTGCTCAAAATAAGGTCTTATCACTGCGTGAGGGACGAATAAAATTAAAAGCGAAGAGCTTAGATATTTCCATTTGGACCATTCGGAGTCGTTTGTATGTGAATGACGTGAAATATCGAGGCGATTTATTGAATTGTCTACATACAGTATAATTGGGCAAAAAGCACAGTTAAACAACATTAACTACTCATTCTAATAATTTCAGCCAATAAAATTGTACTTCATAGCAAATTCATTTTACCTTTAATAACCAAATGTTAGCAATGAGAGCAAAGTTCGGGCTAAGCTAATGAGAGTCGGCTGCTATCACTAAGTGTCATTTCTCCGAGTATGCCAGGCGATTATGAACAACTGAACTTCATATTGGTACATTTACGTCATAAATTAATCAATTACATCGTAATAAACATTTATTATCATTTTTACTATGATTACGATTCGACAGTATTTGAAAATAACGTCTACACTTATTTCAAACAGACTGCACATCGCACCGCGTCTGATCGCGACTCGCTGGCGCCTCTTCGCAAAACCGATCTTCGCTCCGGGTTTCGCGCATTTCCGAACGGAAACCCCACGGGAGAACTCGGAAAACGCGCTCACCCGATCGTACGCGCATTCACGAAACCGCGACCTGCGGGGTGTTTGTTTTCAGAGCGAATTACGGTTCCGTAAGCATATCGGAATCCGAGGTATGCTAATAATCCCACAGGAAGCGCCGTTACGCTTATGTTACATGTTCGCGCCCTTATTTACGTACGTTTACGTGCGTTACGTCTATTTTCTGTCTGTCCGTTCATGCGTCGGCATTGCTCGAATTTCGCTCGCCGACGGTCGGACAGGCATCCGGATTTACACCCGGGTAACACACTCGGGCAAAGAAACTGGCCCGCCGATGCATAAACGATGAAGATTGCATCGTGCGCGTGCATAATCGAACAGCAATATCGCGAGCGCTCGCGCGCGATCGTCTCGGAATTCCAGCGAGAACGAATGCCGGACATTCGACGCTCCGATTCGATCCCGTTTGTAAATCGCGCGGGCTTATATTCGACGCCGCCTTGCGCGCCGCCGTTACACTCGTACGCGCGTCTCTCGTGTAAATACCAGTCGAATTTGCAGCGCGTGTCTCTCTCTCTCTCTCTCTCTCTCTCTCTCTCGCGCGCGCGCGCGAAAATACCACCCCGAGCGGTTTTCCGCGGGCGCGTCCCTCGCGAACTCGATACTTTCCCGGTGATACTTCCGCGCGGAAACACCGATCCCGAAATCTCTTCCTGTAGGGGAAAGTTGCCTAATTCGCAGCAGATTCTTCTCTTCATATTGAAAGAAAAAAAGAAAACAAAAGGAAATTATACCGAGAGTTTTCACGCGCGATTTCTCAGATGCCGGTGGACACGGCGAGTTCGAGCGCCTTCGACGCGGAAGGGAGGATTAATCTCGGCTTCCTTTTCTCAATTGACTAACCCGACAGTACCGGAAAAGCCGTAATGAGCTAATTCGACCGTCCGATTTGATTGTTACCTCGGATCTGCGGCGATCCGAGCGAATCGGAGTTTCACGCGACGCTGTGGAAACTCGGCCGAAAGCTCGACGCGCGACGATGCGATCTAAAGGTAAAAGCTGAGAAAATTAATCGAGATTATTGTGACCGATTGTGAGCTAGTCATGAGATAGTTGGTAAAGGTTGATTTTAACGAAACTTTGTCTATGTCTAAATATGTACACGCGAACTCGACGAGGAATTCAGAGAGTCACGATCGCCGGCCGGAGACGGTTTTAAGTCGCGAGATCGTTTCTCAACCGCCTAAAACGGAGGTCGCGGTTTCAACCGAGAATTCAAGCATCTCCCGTATTCTCGAAATTATTCAAAGTATATCAGGGAAACGAATTTTATGCGCACCGGCACACCCTCTGAATTCGCTGCTCCCGGCGAGCGAGATTCTCTCAATTCGTCCGTCGAAGACTCGCGGATCTTTTCCAGCATCATATGTACGCGCTCTCCAAATTTCTCGGGATAAAACTCCACTCGGCAAGTAGAGTGACAGTTGAATTATTCAAACTCGAGTGACCTTTCATACAGAGTGCGTTCTGCACTCTGGATCGTTGAGTGAATATTTTTATTCCACACTGAAAAATGAATCCGATGCATCTTATCTTTGTTAAAAAAAAAAAGAAAAAAAAAAGAAATCCACTCTAACCGCAACGTTCACTCGTGTGAACGCTGCAGCCAATCAGAGATTCCAGATTAAAAGTGCTCGTGCTTGAGTCAAACGTCACATCTTGTGATTCCAAGTGGCAGTACTCACTGAGGGAAAAAGATCGTTAATCCGACTAAAAAAAAAGTCCGCATCGACTGTATCTTCTTGTTGCTCCAGCGAGAAAGCGGCGATTGTAGTAACACTTATTAGAAAACCGGTTCTCTCGGCTGTAGTTCTTTCATTGTGCGGCGCACAGTTGTGGCATATTTGCAGATAGTTATGCCGGATATTTTTCTCTCAGTGGGAAGAAATTTGTAGAGCATGCTCCGCCTGGCTGCGCGTTTCGTCGCGAGTCGCGCGGTGGCGAGCCCGCAGGGCTCTCGCAGGGTTGCGCCGCGGGTGCAGTATACCTATGCGTTACCTGAGAGCACGCGTGCTGCGTCGGGTGTTGCGTGTACGCGGCGTTCGCGGCCGCGCACACGCCGGTGCCGGGGACCTTGAGTTGCTCCTTGTAGTCCGGCTGATACGGCAGCAACATGCGGATCTTGCCCCAGCGATTGAAGAAGAGCGCGATCGCCCCCGCCCAGACTATCAGCACTAACACTACTATGCCCACCTCGACGCCGCGGATCTGAAAGCGAAGCAAGTTGCGGAGCTTGGATTAATTCGCGGCTCTGACGCCCTCGTCTGCGTTTCTCTCAGGCGAGCGTCCCGTGTTAAAGGAAATTCTCGTGGACTCCCGTCTCGATACACGGAGAAACGACAAGAGGAGGCTCGAGCGAGGAATCGAAGCGGCTCTCGAGAACGAGGGACCTTCCTCGCGTAAATCACGAGACGCCTCAACGACAGCATACGTCCAAAAGATACACGGAAAGAAATAGCTCGCTTGAACTTACCGGTGACAATGAACAGACCGCGTTGGTGAAAGGAAACCGAATTTCTGTTGCTTACACGTCCCGTTTCCCTGCCGTTTTAATGACGCCAGAAGCGAGAAAACTTATGTCGAAAATTCTAAACGAGACATCAGAAAACCTTATGAACCAAATTCAGTTATTGCGAACGAAAATTCGATTTCCTTCGACCAAGACGCGTTTGTCCAGGCAGAACGGAAAATCACGATAATATCGAAATGATGAAAAAAATGATTATAAAAGCTCACTTTTCCATCATTTTCTCATCATTTGACGTTATTTTAAAGCCATCGCCGTTTTCTGTTCTACCGGGGTGATTCGTTCATCGTGAGGTAAATAAGCAAACTTTTCTCCCAGTGTAAAATCCGACGAACGAGACTCGTGTCTCTGCGTGACGAATCGACAGAGACTTTCGGAGCCGTTGCATGTGCAGTCCTCACCATTTGAGAGATGCGAGCGAGAGGAGATCTCGCGGTAAAATCGTCTAGTACGAAAACGCGACGGTGATAAGGGAGACTGACAGTCATATTCCCGTTCAGACAGCCATCTCGACGCCGTCGCGAATATATCATAAACGTCTAATACGAGCAGCATACTGTACCGAGGGGAGAATAAGAACCTGTGCCTCGACTTGGGCCACATTCTCTCTCTCTCTGTCTCTCCTTTTATCGCTCTCTATTCGTCTCAGCGGATGCTTAAATCGCAGAGTTCGCTCGCAGGAGGAAAGAGTCGACAATTCATACGCGACATTTTACCGATGTGCAGCCATTATGTTTCTCCCGCGTTCCTTCGTTCTACGGAAACGGTCCGGTGTACGAAAAACGTCGTCTACGGGTTCTTCGCATCGACTGAGATCTCTCGTGCTTCCGTGATTCTTATATGTTTTATATATTTTTACTAATTTCAGCTATATTGTAATTCAAACCTTTCCGGACATTTATACAGTCTGGAACAGTGTAAAAACCTGCATTGGCCGTCAAAGCCCCAAGTTGCTGGCGGAAGGTGCTACATTATACGTTGCCGGTAGAGGATTGATTAGAAAACGTCGATCCGACACGGCAACGCCACAGAATTACGCGTAAGATCGTCGCCAAGACTGCGAGCAGAAGATCGGCGTTATTTATTGTCCTCCGTCGGACATTTAGAGTGGATATACTCGTACGACGGAAAATTAAAGAAGAAATATAATCTCAAGACACGGTCAACACGAGCAGCGGGGCTGCTGCGATCTCCTGGCGTTCCTCGATTGGATCCGGAAAAGTTTCACGACACATACTCCGCTCCCCCCTTTTTTTCCCCCCCTTTCATTCTACCGGCAGGATATAATCCTATCTGCCAGGCGGCACAATAAATCACCCGTGACTGTCTCTCCTCACGGAGCTGACACTTGGCATCGTTGATTTCCGCGGAAGAACTCGCGCGAATCGGCGAGAGTCCCTGAGAAATACGCGCGTCGCGCGCAGGATGTATTGAAACGAAGGCGTGTAATTCTCCTGGATTACGCTCGGGGAAAATATACACGGGAAAAGATCTCTCCCTCGAGGAAACGTCATATCACTAGAGATCAAGAGGCTCTCGATATCTCAGCAGCGTAAATAAAACCACCCGACAAGAGGAACCTAATCCTCTCATTTTTCTTCGCGAGGAAGCGTCTCCTCGAAAGGACTCGAGCCACAAGCTATATGCAATCAGGACACTCGAAGAATAAGGGTCGCAAGCGCCGACGGAAGGAAATTTCCGAAGTTGCAGCGTCGAAAGGAAGCGGATTTACCTGAAACGGCGCTACGTCGAAGCTCGGAAACTTGCTGCGTTAAGCGAGAAAGGAATCTCGCGATGATTTTGCCGGTGTTGCAGCGTGAACCGTTGGTGGCGACGGGAAGCGAACGTCGGAACTCGTTGAACTCGTTCTTCGGCCGCTCGATCGTAGCCGTAAACGTTAATAAAAAACGAACACGTGGATAGTTTTCAACCGCATGGGGAAAAAGGTCGGTTGAATAAACGTGGCAACGAACCAAATGCGTTTTCGTTGAAGGAAACAGAATTTCTAGTTCTTATAAATTAATGCTGCAATTCTAAGCAAATTTATGAATAAATCGTAAAATCGTAAAATCCTACGATTCTATCTAGAATCGCGGCATAAATTCAATTTTTAGGACCGAAAATTTGGTTTCCTTCCATTAAAATGCACTCGGTCCGTTCATTGTCACGTTAGTTCAACCCCTCTCCTTTCTCCGTGCGATATCGCAGCACCTCGGAGGAGGTTTCCCAACGCGTGACGACGTCCAAAAATTGCGAATCGCTCAGAAAGAAAATAGCTTACTTGTATATACGGTTGAGGTTGTTGCGAGGACGGTGGAGGTGGTGGAAGAGGACCACCGGTTACCGCTGCATCTTGCTGCGGGGACGTGCGTGGTGGCTCTGAAACCATAGAACCTCGTTTACATGATGCCATCGCCGCGAAATTGTGCGCGTTCAACGCCTTTACACGAGATTTTACGCGACGCTTTATGCCGCCCGCCTCGTCGCTTTATCTCGCGAAATTATGTCGACAAACTCATCGTGCACATATTAATTATCATGCATGCGTAAACAAGTGATCGACGACGGATGATACGTTAACTCGAGTTCTCGAGGCGTTTTTATTTTCTTCTTCTTCGAAAGTAAGCTCGAATTGAGTCCACCTTGCGAACTTTTCAATCGCAATTTATTCTTTACCTTTCCCCGATATTTTGTCAAATAAATTGATTTTTAATGAAATATAAATATACGAAATGAATGAATAATTAAAAGAATAAATAAATAGATGTTGTTTACATATACCGATGTCTCGAAAGTGCGCGATCGCAAGGCCGAATGTGAATCAATCGAAACTCTTTATATCGCGGGTGCTTCTACTATACACACATAAAACTATCAAAAGAGACGAACGATATTTGTCACATATCTCTCTAAATGTAGCTGCAAGCCGTACGTAATCAAACTAAAACGCCTCAGTTTTATTTACCGTGAAAATCAAGGTAAAGAGTAAAAATCCGAGCAATCCAATTAGAAAAATTAAATTGAGTTTTTCAATTTAATTTAAAATATATCTCGCGTGCCGCGAACCAAACAGTGTATAAAGAAATTACGCGGCGGAAAATAATGCGAAAGAGAATCTCACGATACGGCTCGCAGCTACGATCTCGACGATGACTGATGTATAAAATGCGGACCACGACTAATAATAACACTACGGATTAAGCAACGTGATGATTAAACTAACGATTGCTACACAGACTCTATTTTAGAGAAACTATTTCTCCCATTGTCAGAACGCACCTCTCGCCTGTGACCGTGACGCCGGAGACAGGTAAAGCTTAGGAAGGCAAAGCTTACCGAGTGTACGGAAGACGATCGGTCGACTTCGAAACTTCTTTCCGGCTCTCACGGCGGTTACTACCAGCTGATATTGCGTATCAGCCCGGAGGCCGCTCAAAGTAACCGCTTCGCTGTTTCCTGCGACCACCGCCACCACCCTGTAACTAACCACCTTGCCGTTAAGATTCTATTTTTTCATGTGTTCATGTGACCGTCCGTCGAGACGCTTCGATCGACTTAATGCGACATGCAAATCGTCATGTCTAATAAAAGCGAAACTATCTAAAAGAAAACAAAAATTTTCTGGAAAAGACTTGAAAGAGAGAAAATTCTTTCTCTGATAACACTGGTTAACGAATTTCATATCATAAGTTATATCCTGCTCGAATATTTTCTATTTATGCTTGCGTGTTGGAACAGTATATAACAGTTATATTGTAATTTTTGTAAATTTTAGTAGAATATAAGGTATAAAAATGAAGCAACAGAACATATTTTTATTATAATTTCTTATTTTAGAAAGATTCAAATATCAAATGCTTTTTTGATTGTATAAAAAATTAACTAGAATTGACGGTTTAAATCCAGAATACAATTTTTGACCAGTATAACTTGATAAAACTCAGTCGCCATTATTTGACTCCCATTGACCCATTTTCTTCATCGATCTACCTAAGAGGCTATCCAAGCGCCGTAAAAATATTTACGGCGTCTGAGAAAGGATTACAGCCTTCCCCTAAGCAATCAAGGGACCATGTCTTTGAGCGTCTTTAGCCATTTAAAAAGTTGAATGCTTCCTTTTCAATCTATCTTGAGCTTCAGTAAATGCATTTATATTTTTGTTATTTATTTTCGCATTTGGCTCCAGTATTTTCTTCATGATCAATCGATTCGCGGAGTTTGGCGAGTGAATCGAAATTTGAGAGATACGCGCCGTGCTTTCGCTGAGAGAAGGTGAAGTTGTTTCCTTTTCTTCGGAGAGATCACACTTTCGCAAGGTTATATCGAGAGGCATCGAAATGCAACTACAGCTTGTCATTGCTACAGTTCGATAGATTCAAGATCCACGTTGCGTTGAGTTGCGAGGCACGGTAATTGGATTGACGGTATTAGATGCACCGTTAACAATCATCGAAAGAGAGAAAGAGAGAGAGAGAGAGAGAGAGATGGGAGGAAAGAGGGAGAAAGAAAGAAAGAGAGAAGGAGGAACAGAGATTGCCAGAATTACAAGATTATTCTGATATCCGATAAAGTTCCGTTGTATAGCGCGGTACGGGATGATGATTATTATTGTTATCATTACTATTATTAAAGCCGCTGATAGGCTCGTCACGAACGTGAGACGGAACAGAGTTCCCGATGCAGAGTCGAGCAGCCCCAGGCTACTCTTTTAGCCAGCGAAATTTTCCAATTAATCTGTTTGATGTATATCGGCTCGTGTGTTTTCATCGTTACGTAAAGCCGTAATTTCTCGCCGGCGTAAGTAAGCGCATATTAAACTTTATATAACGAGACCGCGTCTTATCGAAATAGGAATCGATGCTAAGCATTTTTACGACAAATTGCACGTAATCGCGTCGCTTAAGCATTTAAATGGACGTCGTAACAGGTCGCTCGACCTTTTCGTGTTCACGTCCCGGCGAGCTTGCGCGAGGTATGTCGCCGTACATCAAGTTCGCATTCGCCGTTGCATATGGGGTCTCGGGACAATTCGAAAAGTCGAGCTTTCCATGAATGAAATGACCGAGAGGCAGATATTGAAATGTATTCGTATCATTTTGAATACAATCTCAATCCATCAGTTTTTGTATCAAATCAAATCGTTGCCACAAGTCAAGCAATTTAGATTTTTACTTCTTGCGTGACAAAAGTTACGCTTTAATGTGCAAAAACGTCGGCGAACGATTTTGGAGAAACGGCCGAAGTTGTAAAGTGCGAGGATAGATGAGGATCGATGATAAAGAAGAAATTCAAAAAGTGTATCTGTCTCTCTCTCTCTCTCTCTTTCTCTCTCTTTCTCTCTCTGACATTTAAAATACGATAAATACGCAACGCCATTAACACGTCACGTGGCTGTAACAACGTAGGATTGGAAAACTCGTCGATCGGCGGATTAAAGGGAAATGTCGCTTCGACGTTTAGAGCTTCCACGCGGCGGAACTCGTATTCGTTTACATTCGAGCACTGTTTAGACACACCCGATGATTAAGGAAACTACCGTGCGCCGTATAACGGGCTCGCTGCATGTTGCATTAAGCGCGACATGCACACAGGACCGAGGCGGACCACACGCGTATCACGCACGAGTCGACCCGCTTATTAATGCCCTTTCGACCCTTTCTCGTATGATAAGCGCCAGTCGTATCTAGCGCGGGCTGCAACGCTCCCCCTTATTGCAGCCGTTTAAACTTTTTGCATGTATATATACATGTCGGATTCGATAGTCTAAATATCTGCATTGCGGCACTTTGTCGCAATCCGCGAGCGCCGTTCGTTAAGTGTGTCAGCATCTCTCGGCCGTGTAATTCGTGTGGCGAACGCCGAGCGAGTAGAACGAGAAGCGCGAGATATGCAGATCGGAGGGAACGGGGATAATTTGTGTTACTTTCTCTATTTTTTTTTATTTGTCAAATCTCTCTCTCCGGGAGGGACGAAAATCCGGCGGTTCTCGATTCACGGAATCGCGACCCGGCTGATTCGCGCGATTCCGCGAACGTTGGAATCGTTGGAACGCACCTGGCGTCGGTTGGCTTGTACGTCACGTCGTATTTCTCGACCTGCTCGACCTGACTGGTGCTCCAAGACACGCGCACGGACGTCGGGTTCAGGAACATCACCGTTATGTTTTCCGGGACGCCGGGAATGCCTGTCACCGAGCCTGCGAACAGTCAGCGACGAGTGTCCTCGTCATTATCCGCTAATAAAATCCGTCTGCGTTTCCTCTCCCGATCTGCGCATCGAGTGTCTCCGGAGGGAAAGAAAGAAGAGAACATCGTCGCTCCTTCTCGGCGGGATTCCTCGAAACTTTTCCTCAGTGAAAAGTTCACGTCACTTCTATGAATAATCTCATAATGTAGACGGTCCATAAAATTATTTCCTTAGAAATCTTTTGAAATTTTAATTGCATATTAATGGATATACCTACGCATCTATAAAGTTAGAAAACAATTGACTATTCGGAAGTTGAGATATTTTCAACAAAAGTTCACGCTTTTTATACGCTTTCCTTGAGATTAACGTCTTATTTTTACTTTATATTTTTAATTCCTTTCAAATCACATTTAGGATTGTAATAAAAAATTACTATGATATTAAGGATTAATGTACATATTGTGCAAATATTTCAAAATTAATATTTATTACTCAGATAGTTAAATAAAGATATAGAGAAGTATTTCTTTCAGTAAGCAGTACATTTATGAAGAGTTTCCTTAATATTGCTACTGAAAATTCGGCACAACGCACTTTAATATTCATCTTAACACTTTGCACTTGAGATTGATTAAGCTCGATTATGCTCACCTACGAATCCAGCTCCTTGGAGGATTAGTATTGTGGCCCAAAGGACCATGCCGCCAGGATGGCGGGCCGGGTATGGACCGCGTACCCTTCCGCACACTTGTCCGTCTCCACTTCTGCTTCTTATCGTAGCCGTGCGATTTCGCGGTCCGGTACCGAGATGCCGCCGGCCTGCGCATTGCAATGGAAAAACTGATTAATTACGGTTCTCACGTAAAGTCGCGCTTAACGTGTGGACTATTTTTTTACGCATCGCGCGTGTGTTTCAGTATCTTATACGTCTCCGCGTTTCTATGAACATGTTACAGCAATAGTCTCCTAAATAAACAAACAGACAATTATATTTAAACATAAAAATGTATTTCAGGATTACATTTAAACTTTATTTTATACCTCGAAGCACGCAATGCATATTATATTACAAATAAATAGGGAAAATTCATTCTGTGTTCTTCATGTCGCAAATGTATTTCTAAAAAAAAATATTTGATGTGTCAGAAATAATATGTGTGAAAGTAGCTCACAAATGTCGCTGGAAACATCGGATGAGGAATATACAGATTCTTAAGGTGTCAATTTTACGCACACGTAACGCAACGTATTACGGAAGTTTTCGTCGTGCATGTATTCGAAAGTATCGGAATAACATGAAAAAAGGAGAAAGAACAGAATAAGTGTAAGAAAAGCGGCCAGTAACTTTAATGTCTGTAGCATTAAATTATATCGGTAAGTTAACGATTAAAGATAATTAAGTCATAATACTCAGTCATAATATAATAGTAAGCTTTCACAATGGAGTGTCGGGGAATTCGGAAAGTTCATAAGTCGCATTCTTTACGTTTAGATCACCTACCATGAACTTTGCCGATAGTTCGGGATATTTTAGTAATAGCGTTATAAATGGTGGAGTATTTTTTATGTCGTCCATATGTAATTTCATATGATTTACTACAAACTCTTCTAGATATTTGTCATCATATGTGTGCGCGAGAATTAGACTTTCGACAGCGGTTTGTTGATCGAAATTATCGATTATACGATATCTACAAAACAATTTGAGGCTTTGTATATCGTAATCGGCAGCTAATGCAAAGAGTTGATATAACATGTTTGTAGTTATATTCTGCGCATTTAGATGACCAGTTTGTAAAAAGCACAGAAATATATTAAAGGTTTCCCGCGTTATATGACTGATGTTCGTTAAAGCGAACTTATTCACTGTCGGATTCTTGTCTAATATGAATTTGAAGAAGGTGCTTTTTGACGAAAGTATATTTCTCTGTATGTAGAAATGTTCCTCGAACGCTACCAGTGTAATTATCGAATTGAATTGGCTGAGTTCCGAGTTATTATTATCCATCAGGAATACATCTTCTGGACACATTATTTCATAACATATCGATCTGTGCGTGATGTTTAATAACAAACGGAAGCTACAAATAATTCTAAGTGTATTATTCCATAAAAGCGTCGATTCTTTCTCGTGAAGAAACGAAATCTCTAATACATGGCACAATTCATTATCATGAATTGTACTGTTTAGCGTGTACAGACGTCTATTCGGGATACCCTCCACATAAAACAAGTGCGTACTGGAAGAAGCATTGGTATATACGTGAAAGCACACTTTCCTTTCGCTCTTGTCGACATTCATTTGAATAACAAAAGGCAGTTGCTCGATGTTGTCGGACGTTAAAGAAGAAACAAATTTATATATGTCCAAAAAGTTCGAGATAGTCCATATATAGCGGTAAGACTTCATTATCGGGTCCGTTCTACAATGATTGGTGATGTAACTTGTTTTCTTTGTATACAGCGAATATGGCAAGGTCGCTTGTTCCATTGTCAATCCTGCAACCAACCGATATGTGTCTGCATGTGTGTGTGTCTGCGTGTATGTACTTTCAATATATATTTTATAAATATTTACATATTTTTTTCTAAAGTGCTCCATGGTAAAAACGTTTTTAATAAAAGTTTGAATATAAATATAATTATAAAACTTATATATTTTATATAGAACTTAGACAAGATAATATGAAATATAATGAATATTACGAACGTAACAGTTGTTAATAATAATTTTTCTTTCCTCTTTCGTTGTTCGAGCATTTTCTATACACTGCGATAATGAGAGCAGTTAATAACGCTTCATTTCGATCCAAATGTGCGGAATAAACAGACATCATATTTGTTCACCTAACATATGTCATATTGTGTTTATTTAGAGATAATCTCATGAATGTGACAAATGTATGAGTACATTTATCATTCGTCTGCTTTCGTCAAATTCTAAATTTCTCTTAAAAGACGCGAGAAACTTGATTCTGTTTGCGTGAAATTTATATTTGAGATTTGCATATAGCTTCGGCTTTGAAAATTTAAAAATCTTTAATAACGAATGGAATTAGATAATAATATAATGTTTAACATAATGTTAAACATGATATATAATATAATGTTTTTGTTGAAATCGCGTTTAAAACAAAGAAACATTATACTTACAAATCGCTTAAATGCCGAGGCTTAATTACAGAACTTTCTCATTTCAACGTTTGTTTCTCTGCACACCTGGTTCTCAATGCTACGTCTATCTGTTCAAACGAGAGACTCAATTCTAAAAGTAAATCCGAGTTTAGCGGAGGATACACACAGAAATGTATAAAAATGCTTACAGATTCCAATACTGCGAGCCCCGTGTCAAGATACTTCGTTCGCAATAGTCACCGATACGATATTATCGCGGTTCTTTCCTGCTTTGTTCAGAGCTGCTTGTGCCAACGTTATTTCAAATTATCACAAAGTGATACCTAGTCTTTCCTACTATCGCAAGTTTCTTCGTGCGATTTGTTATTGTTGTGCTCTTTGATAGCCGCTTTTACCAATGGCGAATTTCCAAGCTTACAGTATACAGCTGTTCTTACAATAGAATTCGATTGGGTTTTCGAAGTTTAAATCAGTGAAAATCTACCCGTCGGCCTCTACGATATAATCAACTTTAAGGTAGTTGCAGCACAAAATATGTTTTTTAAAAATTCGTTTATTATTATTTAGGTAGTGAAATAAATGTATAGAAACATAATTTTGCTCGATAAATACTAAATTTATGAGTAACCTTCTTGATATGCCATTAAAAATACAGCGATATAACTACTTTAAGAAACAACTGTAATCGAAGCTTATAAAAGAAAATGCAGAAACCTAGAAATAGCCAGAAAGAGATTTAAGGTAAAAATCCCACGTATTTTTTAAATAATCGAAACACATAACACATACAAGAATTTCACGGAATAAACAAAATTTCCAATTAATAGTTATATTACACTTGTGATTTTAAGAATGAAATATTTATTAACATTTGTAATACATAAATATTTATTAACATTTGTAACACATAAAAACGTGAAGTTGTTATTAATGTTTGACTGCCACACTAATTTTCATAAAGCGTTCCAAAATTTAAACAGAATTTAAATAAGTAATGCTATGTTAAATATATGCATTTCCTGGTGCACATACTTGACAGTTTTATATATATCGGCCACATATGTAATACAATATGTAGAGTTAGTTATACTTTATATGCGTGATTATTCATGATTTAATGAAACGTAATAAGATTGTCAGTTAAACCTGGATGGCAGTCAAAGTAATAGCAATTAAATAATAGTAATATATATAGTTGTTAATCTTCCATATGGCATTATCATGTTTTTTTGTTATATCTTATAAGCAAAATAGAAAAGACGTCCGACCTATGGACAATATTATTATATTTCTCAACAAACATTATGTAACAAAACCTATATTATGTTTTCTGTGTAAATGTGCACATATTTGAAAAATATGCGATGCACTGCAAACAATAAACGTTATAAATCACTTCCGAATATATAACTAAAAAAATATGCAAGTCAAAGTATAGAAATTCGTTAATAGCCAGTCGATGTTAAGTAAAATACATTTAGAATCGTTCTACGGATTGCGATTTTTCTCGATTTTTCAAGAGTTCAAGACATGTGAATTGCATTTTGTATTGAGAATTCGGTTTCCTTGATTCGCGTAAGTAATTTGGGATGTAATTGTATAATGCATGAAAATGCCTCGTTTTCCATGATTTTTTTGATATTCAACGTGATATAACTGGCGGTAAATTTCAATAATTCTTTAGCATCGTGCTCTTCTGCAAAAAGTAATATTTCCAGAAGGATTCTTTCGGGATTCTTGTGCAATAAGCAATTCGAAACAAACTTCTTTAGATATTCTTCGCATATTATTAGAAGATCTTTTACGTCGTATTTCTTAGCCATTAAGAAAAGAGCGCGTAATGTATCAAGACTGGTACTCTCTATATTAGGGACCACGTCACTTTCTATGAAAACAATGAACTTTTCCACGACATCAAGCATCTCATCTTCGTCCACCGCTATCTCTTCTAATAAGATAGAGGTATTCAGAGCTTTGAAGTGACCACTTTTTGCACAAAGTAAATCTTTCGACACTCGGAAAGTAAACTCGTCCGCTTTAAACACAACCGTTGCGTGAGAGTCATTACGGTTAGCAAAGTCCTTGTTGTATAATGGTAATTCTTCACCTTCATGTATTATGTTGGTTTGTATAACTTTGTGCACGAACTGTTGCATGTAACTGAATTTAAAATAAACTCTAAGTGCACCATCGGATAGATACTTGTCTTCCTGAGACAGAAGATAATATATATCTAATTCATAATATAATTTTTCGTCTTCAACACGGCAGGGTAATTTGTGAGTTTCTGACATTGTGATAGATTCTAAATAAGTATAACATTTAACTGCATCATGCTTAAAAGAACCTGTAACGACGAAAAATACTTTCCCTTCTGTTGGATTCTTAATCATGTGTAGAGAAAAAGGAACTTCGCTTGTGCCGGCGTTTATACTGGTTGTAAGATCGTATGTGAGCCAAAATTTGTTGATTACCCATCTATAGTGGTACATTTTTAACAGCGGTTCGGTGTTGCAGAAAGTACTGACGATATATTTGTAAACTGTATCTTTCGGAGACATTTCTTCTATTATCAATTCTGCGATCAATCGATGCGTTTTATAATATACCCTGCACAAATAATTATGTGCAAGTAGCAATTTTGCAATTTAATATTAACTTAATAGAATTTAATTAATTAACTGATTGTCGCGAAACGAAAAAGAAACATAGTTGGCGCGCATATATATTTCTAGAAATCTCAAGAATAGAGTTCACGTAAATAAAGATAAGGAAATCTTTTCTAAAGATATAAAGCGAAATTCTCTCAAAAGTTGACAGAAATTGAAGCGTTACGAGTATATATGTAGTTTGAACTTCCCTTTTTTCTCCCGTTATTTTGCACCTTTAACATCATATGAGGCACTGATAACCGTAAATAACACTTTATTTTGATCGTTAGATTCCATCGTTTGAAATAAACAGAATGTATTATGTATGTCATAACATGTTATGTTTATTTAGAGATTTAGAGATTATGTTTACTTAGAGATTATGTCATGAAAGGCAAACGAATATGTATTATTCGTTTATTCTCGATAATATTCTATGTTCCAAATAACATTTTCGTAACAAAACGCGAGAAACATGGTTCTTTTTTCACGTGGAATTTATATTTGAGATTTCTAGAAATATATGACATTATGCTCTATGGAAATTTAATTAACACAGAGAGAGAGAGAGAGAGAGAGAGAGAGAGAGAGAGAGAGTCTCATATAGTTTTAATTGAAATCGTCCGGCGTAAGAATCTTGTGTATAGAAGAAAGAAAAGTTATACTTACAGATCGCTTAAATGGCACGACTTGTCGAATTTTTTAATTTCTACGAAAAGAACCAGAACGGATTTATAGCATGTAGTTTCGAATGAAATGAGTCGCTGTTGAAATCTCGCATCCAAAAAATGTACTTAAAGAATGTGACAAAGAAATGTACTTACAGATTGCTCAGGGATAACATAACTTAATTATCTAATTCTACGTTTCAGTTATTTAAATGATTGCTGCGTTACTGTGTGTGTAATCGGTGCTCGGTGCTATTTTTATTTATCCAAATGGTCCGGTTTGATTCTAACAAAATTAACCTGAGTCCGATGGAGAATACAGTCAGTAGAACATAAAAACACTTACAGATTTTAAGACAAGTAATCTTTTGTCAAACTTGTTTGTTTTACTGAAATTTACATCGCATCGATACAGTAGAGATCCCTTGTTCCGTTGCTTGTACCAGCGTTGTTTTAAACTGTCACAGTGTGCCTTGATCTGCCACACTAACGCTAATACCTTAACGCGCTCTGTTATTGTCATTCTCTATTATCGAGCGCTCTTGCTAATGGTGAGTTTTCAAGTTTACATAGCTAGCCGACATAATTGTCTTTACGATGAAATTCGATTGGTTGTTCGAAGTTTAAATTACTGAAAATCGAGCGCGTATCGAAGGCTTAAAAACGAAAGCAGATTCCTTTCGAGAGACACAGAGATGTCTTTGCAAACTACTTTGGGTCATTGGGGTAAACAGCGCGGCGATACGAGACATTCGATATCGAGTTGTGCTAACGATTGCCGTGTTTTGAATTTGTTATAGCGTGCGGATTCGTAGTTTAAATTCGTCAAAGTGTTCTTTCAATCGATCCAAAACTATAAAATATTTATTACTTAACACATTATTTATAAAAATATGGCGACACTGCATAATGGGCATAATCTGGCCCCCAAATAAATAGATTTAAAAAATTAGTTATGTTTAAAATAGAACAGTGCTTCGTCAGAAAATTATATATGTGTGTATATATATATAATATAATATGTATTAAATATGCAATCCTAATAAATGTTCTTTTAAATTTCAAACCATTTTATCCGTATCGCCACGTAGATATCGGATATTTCGGTCCACTCACCTGCACATAAACCTTGTCGAACGTTCGGCGTCTTCTATCCACCTTTGCCGTGCTGCATCCTTCCCCTCGGGCGATGTCGTAACGATGATTCCGCGGGATCGCTTCGCGACGCATTATCCGGCCGTGCGTCTCGTTCGCATCATCGACGACGTTACTTCCCGATTACGCGCGACTCGCGAACTCATTCCCAGATCACCGTCTGTAACAGTAACGCGAATGCAGGTTGGGTTAATTCACTGCCGATGCTCTACATGAGGGGACTCGGATGGGGGCTGTCGCGTTTTCCGGGGCGCGTCCGCGAAAATGAGTCGTCGCAGGCGGTCGTCGAATTACGCAACGAGAGCGAACTCGATTAATTGCTTCCATCCGCGAACACCACGATCGAGATACCATCGATCCCCCGCACTTCGACAACTCACTGGGACGCGTCGCAGCGCTCGAATCCGACGCGTCCCGATGAAGTTCGCGTGGCCGATAAAGATCGCGCCGACAAAAAGAACGCCGGTGTGTTTCTGTGTGTATATGCGAACGAATACGTGTTTATCGAGGCAATTTGCGCGAGTGTCCAATATACGAATCGCCGGTAGCTCATAGCGGCATGTACGTAGGCTGACCTTTTCGGACTTCGCGTGGTCGCCGTCGCGTTCCGTGCCAACGAAAATATAGCGAACAAGGCGCTCCTCCAACCGACCTCTGGCCGAGTCGACGAGCGCACGGCGACGACTGCGAACTCGGGAGCAACAAATGGAGCTCGCGGTTTACATCAGGCCGTCTTTATACGTCGTCCCCTGCGAGCTCGTTCTTTGAGCGCTCGAGAGCAGTGGCGTCAAAGCGGGGGTGTGGACAGTCCGCCGAGTATCTGTTTCCGTTCCCGACGAGAGGCGCTTCCTTGGAAATCAGACGCGTCGATGAGTCTGCCCCTGTCTGTTTTCTTTTTCCTTTGGGGTAACCCGACAGCGGCGGAGGAAGCTTTAACGGCACATTTTCAGAGGTTAAGACAACATTCTTCTTTAAAAGAGATATTCAACACGGAGCCAAAACAAAATAGTATGCCGCTTTCGATCCCCCTTTTCTCCTTCTATCTTTTTGTTTTAGATATTTTTTCTCTCAGTATAGTCCGACCTCATATTTAAAATCACTTTCAGACGCCGTAAGGAACACGTTTTATAGCCCACATGATGTCTCAAGATAAAATTAAGACGATTTTGAATATAAAGAACAGAAATTAACGGCACATTTTTAAAGGGCATCGCGATACCCTCCTTTGCGAGCGATATTTATAGATCAATGTCATATTTAAGGCGATTTAAGATTCCGTTGTAAAAGGCGCATTTCATCGCCCATGCAATATTTAATCAGATAAAATTGAGAAGATTTTAAATATAAGATCCGACTATGAATATCTCCCTAAATCTAAATCCGTGCTCGAAATCTTTTACGATGGTGGGTGAGCGCGAGATCTTGGAGAACCCCGGCGCGATTCTCCGATATTCACAGGCCCACCCACGAGGGCGCCACTGCGAATGCAACGACTTACGTGCCGTGAAAAATATTTTCATCGGACGAGTAAAGGTTGTGGGGGCCGCCGGCTCTTTCGAGTCTTTTACGAGCGCTCGAGCATTTCGCCGTGCTCGATAGAGCAAAGCGCGCTCGTGCGCGCGCTATACAGAGAGGAAGGAAAAAAATCGTTATTACTCGTGTGGTCGAGCGTTGCTCATGCAGCGCGGCCATTCGAACCGTCGGCGGAACGATATTAACATCTGTGATAAAAAGTGACGTAGGTTTCGGCGGTTTTGATAACGACATGCGCGCGAATGTTTCCTTTTTTCTCTCGAGTTCTCGCCGTCGAAATGTCCGCCTCCGCGCGCGCGACTCGACGTCTCACTTCCAGGAGGGCGAGCACGTCCACGCGCGCGTAATTACCGCGCTGCGTATGATTTACGTGGAATGCCACGTCGGCCGCGTCGGAGCGATCGTATCTTTTTATGTGCGACTAGAATAATAGTGGAAGAAACTAGGCCACTTGCGAGCCTTTATATCTCGTGATCGTAAAAGAGGGAAAAAGAAGGCGGGGAAAAATTACGCGCGCGAGCGCGTGAATAACAGCGGCAACAAGCGTCGTTAATTACGGAAACGAGTGGAAATTAAGTCAATTGAGACGAATCGATACTTCTCCACGCTGGTAACGTGCTGTTTGCCCTCACGACGAATCGTTCTTTATTAGTTTATCGGGGAACTTTCGACGAGCCGTACGCTCAAAAGGCGGAGGTAATGAGCGTAGTCGAGCTTGCCTAAATGTTTCAATTACCGGCTTGCAAGTCGAGACACATCACGGCGAATAACTTCGGGGGAGAGCCCGTTTGCCGGCGGGCTTCGCGGCCGCCTCGGGGAAGGAACATTACGCGCTCAATAAGTGGGACACGCGGTCGTTCCAATGTCAGGTCATCATTTTTCGCCCGTGGATCGACGTGTCCCGCGAAGAATAATGGCGTGTCAAACGACGCTCGATTTTCCCTATTATACTTCACGCGCTATAATGCCTTCGCGTGAGAACTATAGGCGCTCGCTCGGGCGCGATCGCGCGACTGTAAATCTTGTACGCGCGCCGCCGCTACCACCGTCGTCGTGGATGCGAGAGGCGCGAAAGACGCGCTTCGAGTTATATTTACATTGTGCACACACACACACACACAGTATCGGACGTGAGAGCGACACACACGAAATTGCGGTGCACATTCTGCATTGCGGTAAAGAGAGTGGCGCACGATCGAACCGCGAAGACACGATCGTGCTCGCGCGAAATCTCCCTCGCGAAATTTCTTGCGACCCCGGCGAAGGCCGCCGGGCAACCCCAGTCGAAATTCCGATGCTACTTTGGGATCTTAAGGATTGTTTCTTAAGTATAGCTTGTGTCTACTTATACATGGTCTATAAATGAGTAAAAACTCAAACGATAGTGCGACTGTGTTTGCAGGCTTAATATAGAACTAAAATCTCGACTCAGGATCATTTTTTTTCTTTCCTACCCGCGATTGAGGGTGGTCGTGTAATTCCCGGCCGATCGGTTTGTTTTTCTCGTCTTTTTCATCACGTAGACGCGGTTGCACAACGTTACGTATGCGTGTGACGGCGGAGGAGCGGCGTCAGCCCCGAAGACACACGTTTTTTGCACGCTCAACGACCTGGTTGTTGGCGCAATTTACGAAGCCCGTGATCTGTTAAGAGCGATCACGTCGTGGCCATTCATCTCGCGCCCGCGCGCACGGTCGTTCCGCTATTTCAAGAAGAGGAGCTTGCGAAACACCGACACCGAGAGAGTGAGAGACGACCACACGCGACAAGTTCGACGACTTCTTCCCCCATCTGCCCCCGCCGAATAACGGCTGCATTTCGCGCGTTGTATAACTCGCATAAATCTACATCAGTAATTACAGTCAGATTATGCATACACCGGCCTGGCAAAAAAGGCGGCTGTTCTATTTCTAAATCATTCCGCGCATGGAAGTGCTGTATAATGTATAGTATAGTTTAATTTACGGTGCATCAGTCTCAGAGGATCTCTCCTTGTAGTTGAAACAAGCTCAAAGGCACCGAAAGTTCGTCACTTGACGCATAACACTCTGCAGCGACGTAATTGAAAATTTACATCCTCGGTAAAGATAGGCGTATATACGTAGCACGCTTCTCTTTCACGCGCGGCGGTAAATTCAGGAAACGCGAGGGAAATGAGTAAAAAATAGCGTCGCGCGCGGGATGATGTCGTTAACTCGCTCGCTTCGTCGTCTGCTGCAGTCCGTCGGATCCCATCCGGCAAATCCGCCGTCGATACTTCACAGATAATAAATAATCCTGTCTCGTTTATGTCGGTGTGTGTCTATACGTGTGTGTATGTGTGTCTATACGATGATATCAAGTTACGAAGCGACAGAGACGGCTGCCTGCGCTCGTTAAAGCTACAGCGAGGGCTCAAAGGGATGGAAAATAATATGTAGATTATGGCGGGAGTAAATATGATTAGAGGCGAGGCGACACAAAGCTATGTTAATCGAGAGAATTTCGTTGTCATGAAAGTTTACGTAATCCCGTCGTTCGTGTGTACACGTGTGCACGCACATATGCGGCGGACGCGCCGGCAACACCGGTCGATAACAAGCCGGAGCCCCATTTTTTTTCTTTCAATCTCTCTTGGAGCACGTTCCGTGCATCGTGCGTGTGTGTACGTGTGTGCCGGCATTCTTTATGCGCTCTATATTTACATGCGATAATAGACTCGACGGATGGTGGTTAGCGCAGTGGCGTTATAAATAGATGAGTGACTGTTGCTTACTCAGCATGCCCGAATGAAAAATAAACGCTCGTGTTACCGCGCAATTTTCGTATCATGCCTATAAACGGCCCAACAATCGCTGTGTATCTCACCGTTGCTTCGTCTAGTAATAGATTCGGCAGCAAAGGAGAAAAAAGTCCGACCGGTAATTTCCTTCCAGTGAGAGCACACCGCCAAAGTTACGCGCGTCTGTCTCGTGCTATTTTAATTTTCTCGAGAGAATATCTCGACGGTCGAATTTTCGATTAAATATTTCCATCGACAAAGTTATGTGAAGCGGAAAACAAAATTTCATTATTCGTGCAGGTCGGACTCGTCGAAATATTCCAGCAGCCTTTGTCGATATTTTGCTATCAAAAGGATCGGTGTATCTTTTGGCTTGTTCTCGGCTATTTTTGGTTGGTGGGTTCACAAATCGGCTGAATTTCCGTTCTACTTCAGCCTCGCATGCATAACACGCGCTTGTTTTCTTGCTTGCAGCGAGCGCATTTCATATAATATCAGGATAAGAAACTTTTTCCCACTGACGAGCGGAGAGATGAACGACGGGGATTTTGCACATGCGATACTACGGTCGCTCGTAAATGGCACTTTTGCACGAATGCACAAAGTTCGTCGGTCCGTAGCGGAGAAAACGCGCACCAACCGCTTCCGTCTCTAGCGCATTGCCTTCCAATTATAGTCTGCAGAATCCAGACGGACCGCTGCAGCTGTCGGCTTTTCTCCGACCTTGGCGCCGCATGGTAAATTTGTCCAAAATGTCTGTCTGCTTTATCAATGCACAATTAACATCTGTGAAGTGAAGTTACGTGTTTGTTTTTTTTAATTTCACTCGCGACAAACGGTAATAATATACACGGAAAAAAGAGTTT